GTTGTAAACTGTTCTAAATGTGTTTGCAAATCATTACTACAGGTATTCGACCAAGGTTTGAAAGCTATTTCGCTCAGTGTCGACCTTTGGCTCCATTACATCAACCACTGCAAAACCGTCTACGAAAAGGATGAAGAAAAGCTTCGAGAACAATACGAAAGAGCTATTCAAGCGTGTGGTCTTGAGTTTAGGTATGAGTTACGTTTGTTGCATTGCGTACAATAGCCGACTCCTAATACGTATTACAATTCCTTGTTTACCTCCTCAGATCTGATCGTCTTTGGGAAAGTTACATAAAGTGGGAGTTGGAAGGTAAACGCTTCAGTCGAGTAACAGCACTGTACGATCGATTGCTGTGTACACCTACGCTTGGTTACATCTCTCATTTCGACGCATTTCAAGAATTTGTATCTTCAAATTTGCCAAACCGTATTTTAAGCGTTGACGACTTTCTCGCGTTACGCGCCGAGGTGAAGGCACTCTTGAAATCTGACGACAATAGCACTACCTCTGCAACAGACGATGCACCGCCTGGAGAAGAACCACCACCACATGAACTTCCACCTACCGACGAGGAAACTCGCGCCATTAGAGAAAAAATTATCAGTAGCAGACGTAAAATGCACAAAGCAAATATTATTGCAGTTGCCGCGAGATGGTCCTTCGAGGAGGGAGTAAGTATAATAAAAATGCAAACGGTATAACAGCTCGTACAGGCCTTGTTAATATTGATTGGTGAAATTTTATGAATAGATTAAAAGGCCTTATTTCCACGTGAAACCTTTGGAACGATGTCAGTTGAAAAACTGGAAAGAATATCTGGATTTTGAAATCGAGCAAAAAGATCAGAACCGGATAATTATTTTATTCGAAAGGTGTTTGATAGCCTGTGCTCTGTACGATGAGTTTTGGATGCTAGTAAGTCGATTATTTTTCCTATTTACTTGAATTCAATCATACGCAATGTGTGCTGATGCATATAGAAATGTTTGTTCGTTTTTTGTTTTCTTTTGACAGTTCGTTCGTTATTTGGAATCCTTGAAGGGTGACAACGTAGAGAAGATAAGAGACGTGTATTCTAGAGCGTGTATGGTGCATCATCCAAAGAAACCAAATTTGCATCTACAATGGGCGACGTTTGAGGAGGGCCAGGGGAATTTCGAGAAAGCTGCGAGCATATTGGAGAATATCGATAATGTATTACCAAATATGTTACAAGTGGCGTATCGAAGAATAAATTTGGAACGGAGGAGGGGAGATTTGGACAAAGCCTGTATATTGTATGAAAATTACATTAGCAATAGTAAAAACAGAACAATCGCAAATAACATCGCAGTGAAGTACGCACGGTTTTTGTGTAAAGTGAAAAACGATGTAGATAAAGCGATTAAAGTATTACTAAAAGCCACAGAGAAGGACAAAGATAATCCAAGACTTTATTTACAATTGATCGATTTGGGAATGCAAAGAACTCCTGTTGACACTCAAGAAATTGTAGGGTATATGGATATGTTCATAGAACGCGAACACGCCGATCTTGAACAGCGAGTACTTTTTGCACAGCGTAAAGTAGAATTCCTTGAAGATTTTAGCCCGGACATTCGACAGGTGTTGAAAGCCCACGAACAATTTCAGAAATGCATTAAACAGGCGAAAGAACGAAAGAAGACGAAAAGCGACGACACTAAAGCGTAAGTATCACTGCAACAAAAATATATTTCTGTTCGAATTAGTATAACTCGTGTAATTAATTATGCGTGTCACAGAGATACTTCTCCACCAAAGAAAGTGAAAACTGGTGACCAATCGAGCATACCACCACCACCTTCCGTCAGTTCACAGTCATCTTATCAATACAGTAGCGGCCCAAGCGGACCTTACCAATCGCAGCAGCAATTTCAAAGCAGTCAGTACGGTGGACAGGGTGGATATCAACAGGGCTATCAACAGTATCCACCTCCGTCAGACCCTAATTACGCCAATTATAATTGGCAGTACGGGCAAGGCGGACCTCAGGCGTACGGACCTTACAATCAGTGGGGATCTTATAATTATTATTAGTGGATTATCTAATGTTTTATCCGTACCAGCTTTCATTACGTTACCGTGTCTACTGTACATTTTATCATCCTTACTCTTCTTTTGTCCGAAAGGCGATCGACGAGAAAGGGAAACGAAATTCTTTAAAGTTCCAATGACACATCAGTGACCTGACACGAATCCTATTGCTACACGTCGTACCGAAAGTCTCCTTTCGGTACATTCAATCGATTCTTTGCATGAACTTGTCGTAATGTATTTCTAAGTAATGTAGCAGTATAGGAACATTAATAAATTTACGACTGTTGGATAAATATTTTATTACGATTGT